GAAAGGAAGTGGAGATGTTTTATATTTAGTTTAGTGTTGCTGATACTTCCCCAGAGAATTTGCTTCCCTTCTTGGACAGACAGCAGTCTAGAAAACTAATCAGTTAACCACTTGAGAAATCGTAGTATTTGTGCATGAATTAGAAACGACAATAATTTTTGTTCAGATTGTTCCTAGACTGAATGCAAAATAATATGATTTTCAGATTAACAACAATCTCTTCTAGTTCTGAAAAACAAAAAAAAAAACCAACCAACAAACCAACCAACAAACTGATCTGGGATTAATAGAGGAGAAGAAGTTACTGAAGATTATTTTGCACCCTTTCAGTCATCAAAAGCAAATTGAAAAGCTCACTCAAGTGACATGCTTAAATCAGTGGCCTTACCTGCCTGGGACACTGGCCAGCAACCCGGTATTGTCTGTCTTGTAGTGTTTTGGGATTGTTTTTTGGTTTTACCCCAAAGGATATTGTGTTTACAGGATTTCATATTGCCATTTAAAGAAATGAGTGAATCTCTTAACAGTGTTTCGTTACTTTTAATCTATCCCAGACATTTTTGACTGATAAAATGTGCTTTGTCAACATGGCCAGAAATTACCCTTAGTCTCAACAAAACCCATTTTTGTGCTTATTGCTGTAAGATTCACCGTTGAGAACAGAGAGAAGGAATCTGACTTGAGGTGTCTGTGCCGCAGCTTGCGTAGATGTACTGCACTCACTTGGCAGGCTCTGCACGGAGAGCGGTGTGGGGTGGAGTGGGTTCTGTGCAGGCTGCAGGACCTGCTTGTTCATTTTCTAAGTCTCAGTGCGGGCCAATTGCTTAAGTCTTTTGTACTGAACTTAGACAGCACTTTGTTAGTATTCAGATTTTATAGCTAATACAAGTTAGACTTGAGTTTTATTTGCACCTTGTGCAACAGCGGATCTTCCAGATAATAACATAGGAATGATACTTCATGCAACAAGTCCTGAACAGTTGCAGACAACATGCAATGGGTAAGATTTAATCTCCATTATAAAGGGTTGTATAAATACCTCAAGCTCCATTTTTATGTAGGAAATGCAGTGCTCAATCTTGCTATTTTTTGATACCATGAATGCAATATATCAGCATCTTTTGCAGATTTCTAGATCACTGATGATGGTTATACAAGTGCTTGGAATATGCCCTATAAGCAGCAATGCCAAAATGGAGTTTTTTCTAACTTCTCAAAGATCACTTGAAACAAAATGTGATAGACTCCAGCAGTGCTTTCTGTCTTCTAGGAAAACATTAGAGCATCTGAGTCTGTGCTCATCAATGTATATAAATCACACAAGGCAATTTGTGTAGTATGCTAGTAGAAGTATTATTAGATAGCTTAGGATATAGATTTATTAAAATATTTTTTCTTAAATGCTTCCATTTCTAACAAAGAGGGGATAACAAATACCTTTAGACCTTTGTTTAAAGAATTACTAATAGCATTTCTCTGCCAAACACTGCATCTTTTGCTGGTAAAGGAGGACTTTTTAGATACTGCAATAATCAAAAGTCAGAATATGATTTAAATAATTTTCTGATCTGTACTCCATTATGTATTGAAGCATTGTGATAAGTTGTGTAGTTATGCTACATTTTAAAAGCTATTTATTTAGAGGTTTTGTTTACACAAGGTAGAAGTATTGTCAAATAATTTATGAGTATAATCTGAACAATAATTACACCATCTCTACTGAGTGCCACTAATAGCTGATTGTGGGATGAACCTCAGTATTGCCTTGGAATAGGCAAGTAACTAGCTGGCACTCATATCCAAGATGTACAGTAAAGTTCTGCTAAACTAAATGAATTTCTGATTCTTTTCTGCCTTTGAACCTAGGACAGTAGGCAGGTGCTGGAGATCTCTTATTGACTAGAATCTTCCTGGCACATCCTTACACTAATGCAAGTTCCTTACCTGTTTTTCCTAGAAATAGAGCAGCATTTGACTGCATAGGCCTGTTGTGTTGATTCTGGCTTTGTGTGTTACAGAAAAAAAAAAAATCAAAAAAAAAAAATCACCACTATCTGTGCCTTCTCTGGGAGTGGTTTGGGGATAAGTCGTAAGAACAGAAAAATGATTTTGGCGATACTTTTGAGTTGTTTTTGCTAATCAAAATGATCTTCCTGTTCTTTGTATGTTTTTTTTTGGTGTACGTAGTGTTTACGTAGAGTTTACAGTGTATTACATAAGTATTTAAAATATTTAGCTATTGCTGTGGATTGAATGTTATTTTAACACCAGAACTTAATGTGGTGCTGTGGAAGGTGACAGATTTTTCAAATTAGGTAAAAGTATTTACTTGAAACTGTTTGCATAATATGATGTTAGTAAACTTAAAGACTGGATAGTTTATATCTCACTTGAGTGCATGATAGAACTTGTTAGGGCAGATATTCACAAATAGATTGTCCTAATAAATTGTAACGTGTTTTGTTATTCTAAGTAGTTTAAGAGATAATGAAACTACTGCTTCTCCAGTAATAACCTGTGCTGTCTCTTGCATCTGTCAGTGTTTAAAAAAAGAGTTAGCTTGTTTTCTAGATGACTGTATTCTGTTCAAATAAAGTCAGTTTAACTTCTAAGACTGCTTCTTATGTCACTTACTGTATTGTGCACTGGAAGACAGACGATTCCTTTAGGTATGCTTCCTTATTAATCCAAATATTTTTAATTGTCAGGGTTATAAAAGCACCCCAATTAAAATGATAAACAAAGGACTTTTAATGTTAAATGTGACTGCTGCTTCTGTTTTGTTATGGATTCCCAAGGTAATTACTCTTTCTGTTCATAATCTTAAAATTAGAGAATACTTCTCCACTGTGTTGTGAGAGCAAATACCTTAGTGATTACAAGGCAATCAGATTAATGGTTTTAGAGGCCGCAGCACTGTGCGTGATACATAGATACTGTAGCCAGTGATACACAGATACCATAGCTAAGTGTATGTAAGACATCTAACTCCAAGAAGTTAATGCACTCAGGTACTTCATACATGAGAGAAATGATGTAGCTTCCGATGAGACGAGATTCTAGGACTTACTTGAATGTCTTTCATTTTTTTTAAAGAATATTTCTCATTACAGGTTTTCTGTAGTAAAAGTTGTCCTCCTTTTCAAGTTTTAATTGCAGTTATTTCTATTACAATATGAAAAAACACTAAAATAACTTGACCTGAGAGTACCCTTCTCTGGTTATGTAGCTTTTGTCTTTAATCTGGAGATACTTCAGCTTCACAAAAAAATCTTTAGAATATTCTGATTTTTTGAAGAGAACTGAGCAGCTTGCTATTTTTATCTGTGATTAATTTGGCATTTGGCTTTCCAGTTAAAGTACCCTTCGGTGCACAGTAAAAGCTGCCATCAGCCAATTTACTGGAGATTCTCTGAACATACTTTAGTGGGGACCTTCAGATGTCAACTCCTGCTGAGAAGGAGCCTTTGAAAGATAGCAGACATTACTCATGGAATTGTTTAGGCTTTCACTTAATGATAAATATGAAACTTAACATGCTGCTGTTAGTATTAACATTTTGCTCCAAGTTCAAATCAGGAGGAACAAAATGGCTTATTTATAACTACTATTTTCTAAACCAGTAATAAAACAACATAATTAATGTGTGCCAAATGATGCTACATAAAATGTTTAGCTAAACAGTGGGCACGTAACCTAGACTGTTTAATCCTTTTACATTTTACAGCATCTGTTTTGCCTAGCTAGGACCCAACTGCAAACAAATGCATTGGTTATGTAATAAAACCAGTTTGCTATGTCCTGCACATTCAAATGGCAACTATATTTAACACTTTACTAGACGTTATGGCTCTAAAATGTATTTACTGCAATGCACATATGCTTCTAACAGAAATACAGATTTTTACATGGTAACCTTTACGTTAAGAACACCAGGTGCGATGCAGTGGTGGACCAGTTGTCATCAAAACTACAGAATTGCAAATTCAGTAGAAACACTGACCAGTAATTTTTTGAGCATTTGGAAAACATCAGAAATCCAGTGTATCACAAAAGAATAAAATAGGTTCTTTTGTGCCATGCTTTGGAATAAAATACGTTTTTATTTACTCTAAAATCTCAGATGGACCACTGCATACACACTGAGCATTTCAAAATAAGAGTCGCAGGCTGCATCCTTTAACACATAAGTATTTCGACGGTGGTGGACATGCGGTATACAAATGGATACATAAAATGACCGTATTTACTGCAGAGCATTCAAATCAATACAACATGTCACTAGAAGTGTGCTGGAAGAAGCTACGTGTAAGCAGCCTTTTTTTCGGATGGCTTGTACGGACTGCATTATGTCTTGCACTGACATGAACAACCTAAATATGGCTGCAGGGTAAGATAATACTACGAGCTTAAAAATTAAGAAAGGGATTGAAATGCTTTGTGTTGGTTGTCAAAAAAATGGTGATGGTTGTCAAAAAGATTCATGATTTACACAATGAGATGCACAATTTCTCTGTAAAATGAACACAACATTAAAGAATTTTGAGAATTGACAACATGCTTAATGAAATTTTAACTTTGGGTAATGCTCATTTTAGGAAGGTACAAAGTTGCTAAAATGATTTGAGTTGTATAAGGTCCATTTTTCTGAGGAATCTGTTATCTAGCACTTTTCATGTAGTGGCTGATTAACGCTGTGTAAAGCCATTTAGATAAGCTTTCCACATCTTTTCTCCCTGTAAAAAAATCTTAATAGTACTTTAAATGCACCAACTGTGAAATACAATGTGATTTTTCCTAAATCATCCTGATGGAAACATACAGTGTACACATGGCCACAGAAAATAGAAGCAGCTGGCATTAATGCTTTTTTTTTTTTTTTTTTTTTTTTTTTTTTTT